ATTTTTTTTGCACGGTTTTTTGGTAACATTTTTAGCAGTTTTTTCATCTTACAGGATTTCTTAAAGTTGCAGAACATAGTTTCGAATTTACCACATATGTCGCATAAATTTGTTTACACGAATTTTTTTTGCACGGACTTCTAGAGAACGTATCTACGTTCATACAATAAAATTGCTATGTGATACTACACGAGATTGAGAAATAAAAAGTTAAACTCAAAATACTAAAGCTTTATTATTGTAGATGTTCTCCGTAAAGCATCGCTCGGTCCAATTGTTTGTAATATCTACTTAAAAGCCGCTTTTGAAACTCGAAATTTTTACATAAATCTACATGTAACAATATAGGTATACAAACAGACATACATACATACATACATACATACATATGCACATTACAAATATATCAAAAAGCATGAACGCATTCTCGTTTTCTTTCTCTTGCGCGAAGCTGAATTCTCTTCTCACAAATGGCATAAAATGATTTATCGAAGCATTCTGCCTAATATTTATATATCGATTAACACTAAACTATTATTTAACCTTTAACAATATCTTGTTTACCTTTCACAAATTCAAACCTTTTTGCCTAACAATTTTCTAAAGTTTTTCTTATGGAGTATGTAGCGGCTAAGGCCCATGAAATATGACTGCATATGACCAGATTAACGAAAATATACACAACTTCAGTGTTTAAATGGATTGGAACATTGGTCTTTAACCCAATAAAAGGTTAGGTTCAAATTTTGCGAATAAAATAATTGATTTCTTTATTCTTCGCACTATTTAAATGCAAGGTGAACGAATCAATATATGTTTGTTTTTATTTTTCCACTACATATGTGTTTTGTTATAAATGCAACTCTGAATAACGAATACTCTTAAAGTAAAACGTGAGCTATTTCGTTGATAGATATGAGAGAGTGTACTTAACAGGTGTGAAAAAAAAAAAAGATAACGACCCAGTCATCAAACAATGCTGATTGCTGGTCCATACGTAAAGCAAAGTCGTCGCGGGTAAACATATATGATATACTCAACTTTCGAAAAACGAAAATGTCAATTAACTTTCAAATTTGCATTTACGCCCGCCCCACTATGAACATATGCATACAAAGTTATAATGTATTAACGAGAAGTTCAGACCTGAGGTGTAATCAGGTAAATGAAAGTTAGCTTTCGCTTTGATTTTCAACCGTTTTTGGCCAAACACCTGAATATAAGTGCAAAAGCTAAGCTGTTCATACGCGATTACCCCGCTTGCGTGGATGCATTCGCATTACAGTAGATATACTTGTATGCGCTTCTGCGTGCCCTTGCTGAAGAAATCATATGAGCGCAACCAATAAATCTCTTCAAATTTGACTTTTCAGTTTTGTGCTTGATGCAAAATAATATGTTAACTGATTCTTTAAATGATATTTTCTAGTTCTAGTAAATCCAATCCATATTTTACCCTTAACCAATAACGGATAACATAAAGTACTATTAAAATAGTATACTAAAGACACTAAAAGGACGCATTTTCTACATTCATTCTTCTCATTTTTTCACCCATCACTGTAAGATGGGAAGTATACTTAACTTTTTTTTTTTTTTTTTCATAATGTATGTAACACCCAAAGGGGAGCTTCAAAGGCCCTGCCAAGTATCTATATTCTTTATCAGGGTAAAATTCTGAGTTGATTTAGCCATGTCTGTCCATCTGTAAGTCTGTATTGGTGTTTGTTGCTGACACACTCCTGGTCGCAAAAATGGTGATATCGTCTTCAACTTTGGTAAAAACATTGGCAATTTATACGCGCAGGTTTTTATTAAAGAATGATCCAAATTGGTCAGAGCAGTGGCGCATAAACTGAACGCAACTCCGTCTTTCTTAACAAAAATTTGGACGTTTTTGCGGGTTACTCAGAAATTATAAAAGTAAATAGAAGGCTGAAAATTTCCATATTTACTTTACGAAACACTCTACTCTTTGCATGCAAAGAATGGAAAAAATCAGCCACGCCCACACAAAATTACAAACAATTGAAATTTTTTTTTTTTCACTTTTTAGAAGTTTTATGCTTAGTTACCATAACGCAAAGAAGATGGAATGTGTAAAAGTATTTTGTAAATCCCTCAAATGAAGATATGTTATCTGCGACCGCGACCTGGTGGATCGATTCTTTTTTTTTTTTCGTTATTAATACTAACGATATGGGTATCAAATAAAAGAACTTGGAAAGTAGAATACGAAAAGCGTAGCGATGGGCGTACGAGATTCGGCCTCCGCCGAACATAACTTTCTTACTTGTTTTTTTTTTTTTTTTTGTCATCAGGACTTGTCGTGTGCACATAAGCAGGCGTCCCCCGCTTGATACGGTACTTGTAACAACTGGCAACAGGAACGACCATAAAGAAGCCATCGAGAGATATCGGAGGAGTTTTCTTTTCTGTTTTATAGTCGTACTACCATAGAAATCTTTCGAAGAGAGATATGGTAGATGGGCTAGAAGAGCATGGCATTTACTCTTGTGTCGATATATTCCGCTCGGACCTTGAAAATTTATGGTGGGGTCACGCAAACTTCTCAACAGGCCGTATCAATATATTTCTTCAATTGATTTTTGCTTTTCTTTTCTACTTTCACAAAACAAGGAAAATAAGCTTACGTGCAACGTTTGATGAAAAATTATCTTTGTAATCTTCATCATTTTTTTTTATTTTTTTTTTTTATAAAAACTTGAATTAAAGTAAACTAACTTTTTACTTATTTGTATGTTTGAAAAGAAATTGAAAACAAACAACCATATTCTATCTGTATCTACGCTCCAAACCCTTTTCTGTTACCTATCCATATCGATGGGACTGTGAAGAGAAAACTAATCCACCAAGTCGTGACTTAACACATTCTGAAACAGATAATGTACAGACGCCCGATAAAGTCTACATACAATACAAAAAATGAAGATTTCTCTTATCAAAAACCGCATTTATAAGTTGAGGTTAAAAAAATATATTTCCCAAAAAAAAAAAACTTTTACGAGAGAAGATCTTTAAGAAAGCTGCACTTGGAGAATGGAACAAAATTGTTGCAGATGTAACAAAAAAATTGGTTTCTTTAATGTCAAGACAAGATGCAAGCCTTGCTAGATATTACAGGTGATCCAGGAAAAAATATTAGTTTTTTAATTTTACCCACGTATAGTATATTAAAATACCTGAAAATTAAACCATCTTTACCGTACATCTTTTTATGAATTTTTTGACAATGAAGTATGTTTTTTCTTTATTACTTTGTCTCAAGCCAAAAAAAAAAAAATATCTCTAATATAAGTTTTTATTTTTTAGGGAAGGCATTTTTTTTTTTTTTTTTTTTGCCATTAACCCAAAAATGCAGTTTTCAATAAGAGAAATTTTTCGCTTTGTTTGCAGACTTTATTGGGCTTCTGTATCTTCATGTGACGAATGTAAAGAATAATTTTCAGCATTACGGCTTGTTTTCTGTATGAGTGATAAGCAGAAAACGTGCAAAAAAAAAAAAGTGAAAAAAATTAATTATTTGATTGCTTATAACTTTGGATAGGCGTGGTTGATTTTTTTCATTTTTTTACATGAGTAGTAGGGTCCTCTAATAAGCCAAAAGCCACAAATTATTGCTTGGAGAAAGAGATATATGTCCAGTGTGCGTGGGCTTTGATCAATTTGCCCCCATTTCAACAGGTTCGTTTTTGCGACCAGCAGAATCTTTAAACAGGCGGACAAACAACCAGACAGACGAATGGAAGAGAATGCTCAAATGGGTGTAGAATTTGATCCTAATGCTAATCAAGAATATAAATATATATATATATATGTATATGTATATTTTATGGGATACTTTCTGAATGTTGCAAACGTTTCTACAAAATTGATGCACCTCTCATCCGTCGGTGATGAAAAAAACAAAAGCTTTTTAATTTAACTTTACTTTGGTTTCGATACGCGCTAACAGTATATTCATTGAACTAATTTACACTATTTCACAATGTCTTATAAAGCGATCTCAATGCAACACGGGACACATTTTTTCTAATCATCTTAGATCTAAACTTAAGTTATTTAATTCTTTATGATATTTTAGTTTAATTTAAGAAGTTTCGCTACAACACGATACGAATTAACCGTTTTAAGCGGAAGACGCTTGTGTACGCTGAAAGCTGCTTGTCGAACAGAAGCATTTGAATTCAATAGAAAAGAAATAGTCATATGAATGCAGTAAAATATATTTATTAGCATATACATATATATATTGCTGGTTAAGTAGTAGCAAACCTTGTGTTAATAATGGTCTGTAGCAAGTGTACAATCAATAAGCAATAAGTCGAGTTTTCAAATATATGTATATATGATATGATTTTACATTAAAATTTCGGTAAGATAGCTAAACTTTTTATTATAATATATAACATACGTGACTTTTAACGAAATAAAAAACAAGAAATGACTACGATATGATTACTATCACCTTGATATCAATTTTCTTCGCGTATCTCGTTATTATCTTATATTTAAAAACAAAAAATACGAAGAAGCAAGATAAAACTCTAGAATGGCAACACTGTGAATTCTAATGTTGTCATTAAGCAAACAAGAGAACGCATGAAAGAGAAAAAGAGCAAAGAAGGAGAAAATGTATCGTTAGCCAAATAAAAAAAAAAGAGCGACAAACAAGAAGAAAAACCAACAACGACAATAATGTAAACGTAATGTTAAAATGCATTTGTATCTCGGTTTAGGAGAGGGTAGGAGATATATAAAAAAAAACACTCACACATGAATGCATGTACGTATTAAAACACTCGCCCAACCAAATAACGAAATAGTACAAAAATAACACTAAAGAAAAACTAAAATCAAGACAAAAAAAAAAAAAAAGACAGATATTAAGCAAACAGGCGATGAACATAGAAGAGCAGAAGAAAAAATTATTTTCTACTAACGAAATCAAAACAATGAAATGCAGCAGCATTTCGTTTTTTTTTTTTTGTTTTTTATTCTAAAACTTAAAAAAATATATTGATAAAGATTTTGCTCGCAATACATTACATTATTGCTGCTCGTCTGTAAATTAAAAGGAGAAGAAAACCGATCGGACATTTGTTGAAATATTGTTACAAAATAAAGTGAAAATAATTTTTTAAAGGAGGCAAAGGCAAAGTGCAAACAGAAATCTATATTCATATATAATGTAAAATGTCTTAGAAAAGTTCCACTTTTTCAATCTTTTTACCCTCATTTTACTAAAAGAAAAAAAAAAAAAAACAACAAAAAAAACGAAAAAAATTTAGAAAATTTATAAAAGAAAAATGCTAAGAAAATCTTTGGTGTTTCTAGTTACATTAATAGTGATTTCACCTTGGCTGTTGGTGTTAAGGTAAGCTGTCTCACCACCGAAGACAACAAGACTTGAAAGTATAAATGTTTGAGAAATGTCGTTTATAGAAAATTGCTTTCAATATATAATATTTTAATACGCAATAAATATATGCATACAAAGACAAAAAAGAAAAAAACATTTATTTTTATTATAAATTTGTGTTTTTGTGTTCAACAAAGAATTCTGCAAGAATAATTAATTTGGTAAAGAACAGTCTTACACACTAATCTATATATATATATATATATATATATACCTCCTAATTTCTACAAGTTTATCTATACTACGTACACAAGCGTTCGTGTACATATAGCAATTTTTTTACGTATATTATATGCAGTTAACAGCGTCTTAGAATCGTGTTAAGGCTTATGCATTTTTCAATAGAAATTACATTTGCCGTTCCTTTCAGCTTACACACATGTACACACGTTATTTATTTATTTTTTATTAATTTTCCTTCAATTTCCTTGGATGTCCGAACATAAGGTAGACCCAGAATGCAATCTCTACTAAGCCTATTAGATACTACATATATGTGCATAGATATGTTTCTCATACTAATTTCATACTCATATCAAATCTGTCTTTATATACGTAATACTTTAGTGCATAAATTCATATCCGAATATATTCCATTCATTCATTCATTCATAGTGCATATTACCTTTTACTTATACAATATCTTTGTTGTTGGTTATAAGTAAAATTTATATCACACATGAAATGAGTAAACTTACACATAATATTAATAAAAAAAAAAGGACAAACAAATTTGTAAATTATGTTATGAATAATTAAATAAACAAAAACAAACCTTCTTTTTCTGGGGCAATCGAAAGAACATAAATAAAGGCAAGCATTTAGCTGGTTTAGGACGCAACTTGGATATCCGTCACTTAAAAATAATTGTATTTTTTTTTATTTAATTTATATCCATCAATAGGCGGATCTGAATTTTTAATTCTATTCAATTCTATTTCAAATTTGTGAATAATTTTTTTTACGAATTTTTATTAGCTTTGTATGACCATCATCGAGGGGTGAGAACATATGCAACGTCCAGAATGAAGCTTCAAGTACATCTCGCAAATTATATGTATTCTTGATTAGTATCGAATTTTGAATCGATTTAAGCATGTCCATGTATCCGTCTGTGTAATATCTGTTGTAGACATTCTCCTCCAAATCGGGCGCAGGGCCATGTGAACTGAGAATAGATCCGTTTTTCGAAAGGATCGTTTGCTCTATAGCAGATAAATGTACAAATATTTGAATGTATATTCTATGGATGATGCTGTAGTATCTGCACAAAGTAGGGAAAAATTTGCGGTACTTACCCACTATTATGGTATATTAAGATTTAACCTTTGTTTTAAGACCTTTACAAGGCGCAAAAACAAGATAAGGTATATAAATTCTTGGCCAGTTTAAAATTTGGAATGCCTGTAGGTATGTCCGTCTGTTCAACGTAAAGAAATTTGAAAGTGACACGCCTGCAACGCCCCCAGGCCAATGAGATAAATAGAAAAAATCAGCTGCGCCCACGAAAATTTAGTTCTTTTACTTTTTTTGCCATGTCTACGATAAAGATGATGGGCATGAAAGATTCGAATCGGACCGAATATTATTTTCTTACTTGTTATTTATTTATTTATTATTTATTTACTCTACACAGTGAATATCCATAAATGAAAATATAATTCAATGCAAATAGATTGAAAAGAAAATAAAATTGTGATAAGCTAATGCACAAGTGAACTAAGAGAGCGTGTGTCAAAGACGCAGATGTGTTCCCAATTTTAATCCTATCGTGAATTGAAAACTCTCTTAGGTCCAGTAAGACCCGTAGAGAACCTAATTGGAATTCAATGATTGGCTGGGCAAAAATGAGGAACTAATAATGTCTCCCCTTAACAGTTCAAAGACAAACGACATTCCCGACATGTGCTGCCTTCTTTTCTCAAATGCCAGTAAAATATAGAAGGGAGAAGGTAAAGATGTATCTCACCGTAGCCAACGAAAGGCGACAAAAAAAAAAAAATAAAGAAATGTTTTTGAACGGATTCTATACTATCTATCTGACAAGAATAGCTTGAACTAGCAGGCAACTGACTCATTCTATAGCGTGGGTCTTACAAGCGCCACATACAAGGATGATCAAAGCCTTTCGATTGTCTTTCTATAAAGCCCACGAAACGAATAATTTGCCTTACTTTTTTTACTTGATTAAATATGGACATTAAAGTTGATCTTCTGATCGATTGAAATACCAAGGCCAATATACGATACGATTTAGAATTGGATTAAAAAATATCTGTCAAACGTTTTACTTAAAAAATTTCAACAATATTTCCTTAATAAGAAGTATGCTACTAAAAAAGCTAGGTATCGTGAGATTAACATTCATAGAGGACTTGGTCGGCTTCCATCAGTCATTCTAGTTCTAGAAACCTGGAACTTGATTTCAGATCAAATCAAACTATATAAACAGAACAGAATAATAGCGTGGTCAAAAAATAAGGTGAATAAGGTCTTGGGTACTATGAAATCATGAAGCTATATTTTGGGAAGCGATACTATTGTCTTTAACATCCACGTGGAGTTCCATGTCAATCAGCTGAGAAATAAGTTTATCGATTTTTACTATATGTCTGTGAAGCATTGATTTCAGACGATCAGAACGTCATGAAAAGCATCATTACCGAAAAAGGGACTTGGATCGGTTACTAAACTCGTACAAGCGTTAATAATGATCCGCCTACCAGTTATATATAAAAACAATTGATTGGACAGTCTTTCAGCTATAGTTGATTTTTTAGCCCAGATTATATGCATTTTTAATGATACTAAGAATTAAGGAATTAGAGGCGTAAGCCAACTGCCCATAATATCAATAAAAGTATTTCGAACGAGTATGAATTAAAAGCGAACTAGGACGAAAGTTTTTTTTTTAATATACCAAGACTAAAGTCTGAAAAAGTTATTGACTATATGCAAAACGGCGACTGAGTTACTAGTCGGAGATCCTTCTTTTATCACTCGGTCACTCAGACAATATCTTTTGTATTATTTGCCTAGAATAAGGAATGAGTGAATGCATCGATCTGTAGGGTAACTCAAATAAGTTAAATAAGGATTACAGTGAGCTGAACCTGTTTATTTAGCTCCAAACTTATTAAAGGAGAGGAAGGATGGGAGGGATGGGTTTCTTCTAATGCAAAGAGAATTTTTTAAATTTGTTTACTCTCGGCCTGATGAAGCATTAGCAAGAAAAGCGGAAAAAATTAAAACTGATTTTATACACACGCACACGCACATACACACGCGCATACATATACACACACACGCGCAGGCGTTATTACAAGCATTCATCGAAAAGAGTACCTGCTGATTGTTGATGAAGAGTGTACTGTAAGTGTAATTACAACTGATATCTTGGCCAAGATTAATTGACATAATTAAAGTATGCAATTTGAGCCATCGCTAAATTGTAAATATTATGTTGTATGCAAGGACGTAGTCTATTGTATGCCACGGCATGGGCAAGTGTAATGTAAATATAATATTATTAACCTCGAATAGGTGATAACAAGCTGTGCCCGCTTTCCGCCGCGTGGCTAATGTTAACAAAAAAAATTAATAGATTGAGAGAGAGCTGGAGAGCTTTTTTAATAATTTCAATTACATATATATATATATATATATATAAAAATTAGTAAATAATTTTTTTATCTTCCTCTTGGTTAGTGCATCATTTAATCAAAGCGAGCCTGAATGGATCGCCGCCATTAAGCGGAAGACAGATGAGATACTCAAGAGTTTTGATGCCAAGACGAGTGAGAAAATAAATAATGTCGAGAGACAATATAAAAATATTCCCCATAATTTATTCCTTTCGGATGAGTTCGCTTCATCAGAATACCATGACGATGTCGATATGGAATTAAATTTCGATCAAACTGTCGACGATAATAATAATAACGATTGGGATTTATTAATATTTACGCAACAATGGCCGGCGACGACTTGCTATCATTGGCGGGAACAAGATAAGAATCATGAATGCAAATTGCCAAACATTAAAGAATTCTGGACTATACATGGTATTTGGCCGACTAAATTGGGTCATATGGGTCCGAGCTTTTGCAATAAAACGGCAAATTTCGATATAAACGCCTTGCACGACATAATGGAACGTATGAATCTTTTTTGGCCCGATATAGATGGTGAAGAAGCGCCACAGGATCATTGGCTATGGAAGCATGAATGGCTAAAGCATGGCACATGCGCTGCCACCCTTGATCAATTAAATAATGAAAACAAATATTTCGATCAGGGTTTAAAGTGGCGTGAAAATTATTTGATATCAAATATATTACGCGATTCAAACATACATCCTGACTCTAATAATACTGTTGTTGCTTTGCATACCGCTTTAATTAAAGGTTTAGGCAAAAATCCATCAATACATTGCCTATACGATGGAAAAAACGATATCAGCTATTTGGCCGATATACGTATCTGTTTTAATAAAAGCTTAGAATTGGTCGACTGTGATGGAGTTTTACGCGATGCAACATCTATAGATTATCCCGGCGGCACGATTATCACAAATTGTCATATCTCGCAGGCAGTTCATTATCCCAGTTTGGTTCCGGGTCGACATGTTGTAAACGAGAGAAAATGGAAGTTTCCAATTGTTAATCTTTATAAATTAATACAATTCATTATGTGGTTTACTCTGTAAGATGACGGACGATGGGATTTCGGGAGCAGCAGCAACAGCAGCAAAAGCATGAGAAACTTCAAAGACTCTTTCAAATCTATGAGAAAGAAGCACAAAACAGGCAATTTTAAGAAAGAGAGAGAGAGAGATGGAGAGAGAGAGAAAAGTAAATAAATAAATAAATAAATAATAAAAAATATAAATAATGTCAATAAAATTAGTATTGAAAATAAAATATATTTTTGTATGAGGCAAACAACAGCAACACACAATTGTAGAAATTAAAAAACATAGTAACCAAAATTTTCAATCGGTAGCAATTGGAGTATACGAACTATATATATATTAACTTTAAACTAAAGCAGTTGTACGTAAATTTCAAATTTTAACTCCTCTTCTTCCTCCATACAAACAAAATTTTCATCTACAATCTACCGCTCCGTTCTGCTTAAGAAAATTGTGTTTAATACGTTATTAATAATAAAAAGGAATTTTTAGAAAAATTGATTATACATTTTTTTTTTTTTTTTTGTTTTTTATTTTAATTTCTTCTAAATCAAAATTTTTTTTCGTTTTTATATCAATTCATATTCAAAAAGGAAATTTTTGTTTCCAAGCTTTAAAAAAAAAAAAAAAACACGAAGAAAAAATCAAATCTAAACCGGATTTGATTTAATTACTCTTATCGAGTTATTATTGTAAAAAAATCATTTAAATAAAATTGTAATAATATTCTGTTTCATTTATATTAAAATTATATATATACTACATATATATTAAAGAATAAAATAATAAACAAATATTCGTATAATAATTAATTATTGTTCATTTATCATAAGTTAAAGGGAGTCTCCAAGGAACTGCAAGCACTTCATTTAATGCGTCACAGATGTTTGACATTTTTCAAAGCCTTTCTTCTTCTTAGGGTTAAGGGCGTAGAAGTAATTTATAAAAATGCGTGGTCCAGCTACATGGGGTACTTTTCTTCAGTTTTTACTTCTATTTAAATCGTTAATTTTATGATCTCATCAAAAATTAAATTGATATGAAAAATTTTTTTGGGCTGGAACAACTTTTTTGGGCCCTCTCTTATATAATCGTTTCTACGAAAACTAAATCTTTATATGGTAAAAAGGGGCATAGAATAGACCCGCCCACTTTCTATTATACTGCTCGATTTAGAAACATTTTCATTCATAAATCGATCTAAGCCTGTCTATCCGTCTGATGTCTGTCCATGCAATTTTGTGTTCAAGCTGCGGACCGCAATTTTTGAAATATTTTGAAGAAATTTGATACGGTGACGTGCTTTGACCCAAGGGTGAACATTATTGACAATTGTTCGGAGCTGTCCCCTTTTTCGGCCACTCCCCTATTCAGAAAAGTTATTATTATTATAAGGGGAAAAATTGACATTTTCAAAATTTCTCGACAAAGGTGTTTAAGTTGTAGTATTTCGGTATTCCAAATAGGTGTGAAAACTTTTGAGCGGCTATGGCAATTTTTTGAACCCACTCTCATATAACCGGAATACGGAAATGGAAGCGTAACGTGGTAAAAAGATCGAATTTTCAATATTTCATGGTGAACATTAGTTCACCCAGCAAACTGAGAAAGACTTCAACTTTACCGAATTTGAAACACGTAGATCTACATTTTCGATACCACCGCCTATATAAGGATTTTCAGAACATATCAAAAGGAGGGCTGTTTGTGAGTGTGATGAGAGATTTCTCATATGAATACTAAGAGAAGAAAGTTGAGTTTTATAATATTTTATGATGAAAAATTGTTCCATAGGAGCGCAAAAAATGTAAGGTAGATAATTTAGACCAGATAGGTCTATTTTTAGGACCTTACCATGAGAAGCAAACCTTTGAACAGAGAGAAAAATAATAATTTTGAGTTTTTTATGACGAAAAGTGAAAAACAATAGAATTTTTACAAAGTAAATAAAGTTTGTCGATAACTTTGGTGAAAGCAAAAATGTCTCTTAAGTATAATTTCTTATTGATCATTTTTTTGATTTTATTTATTTTCAAGATTTAAAAGCAAAAACAAAAATGTAATCCGTGTCTGTAAATAAAGTCATCATATTACACGTAACCTTTCAAGGAATCAATCTGACGTCATATTGTATATGTTTATACGATATTACTCAGAATTTTAGAACAACCATTGAAAGTAGAGAACATTTTCTATTAAACAGAAATAATTACAAATAAACCGATCATTGAATCGTCGTTAATATTTGTTTATGTTACCATATTCCGCACGAAGCTTGTTCATATCCCATATCCAATTATTTATTTTAAACAATTTCTACTACACGTGTATTCAAATGTTGTTTACATTAGATGACTTATGCTTATTGTAGGGAGTAACGTAAACAAACTAAAATGGTAAATAAACAGCAAAAAAACAATTACTTGCTCATCTTTATACCGATCACCCATCGGTAAGGGATATATTCATTTTGTTAAAACGTTTGCCAAAAATGCCAAGAAGTAAGCTTCCGAGATATACATTCTCGATCAAAATGAAATTCGTCTGTCGATTTAATGTCTATTGTAAACATTTAAAATTTGGCCCACTATTATAGTCTATTAAAATTTAAGTCTTTTTTTTTTTTTATAAAACGCAGAAACAAGCTTCATAAGTTCCATAAAATATATAAATTTTTCAGCACTTTCAAATTCGGAATGCACCTAAGCATCTGTCAGCGTCTGTTCGTCTGCCAAATTGTGTAGTATATGTGGCGCACACAGTCCCCCGTTCACAAAAGACAAGATATCGCCTACAAATTTACCAAAGTAGTGTAAAAATGACCCAACACGCCTACGCAACAAAAACCCGTGAACACCTTTGCTCTCCCTTTTTTTTGTGCTCGACACTCATAAACTGAAACAGATACGCGGTATATATGGATTGCCCTCTCATCCAATGTTATAGAGTGTGGAAATTTAGTTCTTCTCCTTTTATTGTCCGGTCTTTTACAGGATAACGATGATGGCTATAACAGATTCAATCACAATCGAATATAATTCTCGTACTTTTTTTTTATCAGTGGATTTTAGTCAGTGGATTTCGAAATACTAAGAAAAATACATGTATATCGGCGGTATAAGAATTTTCTTCTTTGAATCGTAATCAGTTTGAATGCAATCCTTCCTCTCATCGAGTTTAATTATATCCTACACCAATTGTGGTACAGTGGTGTACATGTTAAGTTAGTGCTGCCGTATGTAGCACGCAGAAGGGCTTAAGATAGACACACTTTGTATTATTACGGCCGATTCAGAATCATAATATAAATTGATCTAACCCTGTCTGTCCGTCTGATATCTGACCATGTAAATTTGTGCTCAAGCCACAGGTGGCAATTTTTGAGATGTTTTGATGAAATTGGGTATAGTGACGTGTTTTGACCTAAGACGAACGCCATTGAAAACGGTTCAGATCGGTCCACTCTTTTGACCAATTCCCATATAACGTCCCATTCTAAAAAGTCGCTATATGGAAAAAAATTGCAATTTTCAAAATTTCTCGACAAAAGTGGCTATGTGTCTATGTGATATATCGGCATTTTAAATTTGAACCGTCTGGGACAATTTTTGACCGAAAACTGAAGTTCATACGACAAAGAGGTATAATTTTCAATGCTTCAGGATGAAAATTATATCATAATAGTAATTTAACATAAAAAAGTTAACTGCACCAAATTTGGACCATCTCGGTCTATTTTTTGGATCCTGCCCTATGTAAGGATTAAACTTGTACTAAATTGCGTTGCCTCTTGGACCCGCTTTCCCATAAATACGCACATGAAAAAATGCTTTTATATAGAAACAAGATACAATTTGTGTGTTCTATAATGAAAATAATAATGTGGTGTAGGGGATTTCATGATCGAGCTTGCTCGACTATAATGTTCTTATTTTGTTTTTTTTAGTTATAAAAATCCACGTATATATAGTTGCGAACAGTTATCAGTACGAAAATGACTTATGGAAAAGTCAAATTTATTCAATAATGACTTTCTATTTTCTTCAGAGAACTGCAACGTAGCATGCATTTGCTTCGGATGATATGATACCTTGGAGGAATTTCGGCAAAAAAACCCTAACATAGTTCGCAATAACCATTGTTTATGAAATATATGAACGATTAAATGTTTTCTTTCATTTTTCGATATTTGTTTGGGAAAATTTTATAAATGAATGATAGCTCAATTTCGAGGGTAAATAAGAACAAAAAATTATATTCGGGCGCGGCGTCTACGAGTATATATACCTTCCGTGTAACGTTGAATGGACGTGGGCGATTGTTCTGTTTTTGTTTAAAATATATTTCGAAAATTTTATCGCTGTACCGGTTGTGATTTATGATGTGTATGATGAGCAAAAACTGGCATTTTTTCTTTTTTGAGTTTGCATGCGGAAGGTTTCTCAACTTATCTTGCGCTACAAGCGCGCTACTTAACTGACTTGATGTACTTTCAATCACCAACTTAAACGCCGAATATGAAGTCCCCATCTTCATTTATGCAACAATCCAGTATATTATATACCTATGCTATATATCCGATTTAATGACTCCTCCTAGGTGTTCTAAAAATGAATATATTACGACCCTATTATATAGGGTAACATAATGGTGAAGGAAACTGAAAACTTTTTAGATTCCCTCTCTCTATCTCTCTGCGCCTGTAAGCTGGCCAGCTAACATGATTGATTAAATTGAATAACCAGGCAGTCTCTACATTCTTAGCTCTTAGTATTGACATCCTGCGGAATTTACACAGAAATCAAACATTCTGTTTATTCTTTCTTTTATACAAAAGTTTTTTTTTAACATTAAATATATATGTATTTATATAAATTGCGTTTTCACTATTGTTAGAAATGTAAGGAGAGGAAAAAAAAAAAAAAACCGTAACCGAAATAATTGCAAAACAATGGAAGTAAAAAAAAAAAAAAACGGTTGACTCAATTACAAAAAGACTTTGCAATTATATCGTTGATTGCATACATATTGATATAAATATGTAAAAAATCGTCTCCACATCGCTATAATACGTCGATCTATGCAACGTTAGCTTTAGTCATAATTAGAACTGCTGAAGGTACCAGACCCAAAATGTCTAATGGTTTATCATAGTCTTCGGCGGTAAAAACTTTACGAGGAAAAGTTGTCATTAATCCGAACGGTTCATCGTTTTCAGTTTTCATTTGTATAAAAACCCGTACAGCGGACAATTGTTCCTTGACGTTAAAAGTTTCGGTTAGTGTGGAACCATCCTGTAAGCGTATCTGTATACGTGTCTGGGTATACTCTTTGGATGGCGTTTTGATACTGGGTTCGGCCGGAGTTGTCGAAGTAACTGATTGAAAGCCTTGTGAAGCGGTGGGTGACATTATTTGTGGCTGTTGGCTAAAGAGAGTTTTTTTTTTTTTTCATTTATGATTTTTCTTCATTTTTGCTTTATAATATGTTTACCTTAATTTACGTCTGGCTTTGTCTGCTTCAATTTGTGCTTTAACTCTTTCACGGGCGGCTTTTTCTTCAGCCTTTTCTTTTTTACGTTGCTCCACTAATTTTTTCATTTCCAATTCCTCTAATCGCTTACGTGCCTCAGTCATATCTTTGCCTGACTTTATGCGATTACGTTCCCTCTCCATAGCGTCTGCCTTCTCGCGTTCTTCGCGTTCAAGGCGTTTCTGTTTTAATTTTTCTTCTATTAATGCCAGTTGTCGTTTTTTTTCCTCTTCTGTTAAAGGTTTTTTCTCCTCAGTGGACTCTGAAAAATTTTTGTGACCTGTTTTCGCAGCATGAAATTCTAATTCTCCTTGATCTTTACATAACTTGCCGCAGTCTTCACATTTCAGTGATTTAGCTTCAGGCGCTTGAGAAATCGCCGAACTGGAAGTGGCAGTTTCTGCGGCAGGTGTCTCCGCTTGACCTGACTCATTGCCGGTGTTAGCAGCATTATTAGCATCGCTGGTGCCTACCGTATTGCCAGTAACATCTCCGGGTATATCTTCATCAACGTGAGCCAATAGCCATTCCATCGCTGGTTCTACACCTTTATAATTAGTAACTTTCATTGCGTATTCCCTAGTAAATAGTAAAAAAAAACATTGTCAGTGAAGCCGGCATTTTTTTTCTTTTGGAAGCCTCTAAAACTTACGCTTTTTCTTTGGGAAATCCCATTTCTAATAACATTTGTATGTCACCCATTGTTGTCCAATACAACGTTTCCAAGATTCGTTTTTCTTTTTTACAAATAAGTAGACAAAACAAGCTCACAAGGTTACAGAAATAATTTTCTTAAGATATTTATTCTCTTCTAATAAAATCGTCTTTTTAGCTAAATGACTTGGTCTTAAAGAGTACGTATTTCTTTTTTATCTTTGCAAAATATACTGATTTGGCAGCACTTCAATTAGCAAATTCAAGTTCAAACTTGACAACATTTTTTATTCTAAGTAAACGAATGCTTGTTTAGTTTGATAAGCAATTTTTTGATATCTGCGTATAGGGATTCTCGGGATTATTGTCGTACAATTTTCTAATGGAGATTGGCTCAATTTATTGCTGAGTATAAAGATTGCACGCAAATTTTTTTTTCTTTGTTTTTTCAGTCCTTCTTACATAGCATTAATTACAGCTAGTTAACGTGGAACAGCGCAAATCCATGCAAGCTAATTTATGTATTGCTCATGAGAAAATCTTAATGAATCTTGCCAATGTTGCATTTTTTAAATATAAACCTAATTATTTTCAAAAGCCCAGAAAAAAATATGCCGCACTTTCTCTTCCACAATTATGCGGTATTTAGATGATAATTAGTTTTTTTTTTTTTTTATTATTATATTGTATCCGAGCTTTCATCTGCATAATGTCGAGTAATATATAGTTAATACATATTTCGTTTCTATATATTTTAATTAATAATTAATTTATTTTAAATAGAAAAAAAAATTGTACCACTATATAATTTTAAACTAAATAGGGTGGAACTTAGTTTAAAGTATTAACTGCATAGGTGTGCAAGAAACGTTGATTTCGGTTAATAGTGGATAGTACGAGCAATTTGAAGTGTACGTATTATAAAAATAATGGGCGAATAAAAAAAAACTACTTGAAATATATATTCAACCATGAGGATATGTTACGCCTGCTACCATGATAATAATCAATATGGTTTTTTATTACTGACCTATAAAAATATGTAGACATTTTACATAAAACTGTTAAATAAGAATAACATTATATACAAGTTCAGATAGCAAAGATAATATTATAAATAAACTCCGGCACAATAAAAATAAACTATTGACAACCCTGTCGCATGAGTTGCGTCTTAAAAAGACACGAAAAGGCGAAAGTTTATCGTGGCAGCTCTAAGCGTAAACATCTGAAATCTTTATTGCAAATCGTATTAACGCCTGCTAAATTGCTCGTTAAATAGATGGGAAATTTTGACGACAACAAACATACAATGACTGCACCATATAAGCTAAAGAGATTGAGTGTTAGAGTTAATCGTTTATCGTTAGTGGCAAGAGTTGATCCGGAGATACGCGACCAAGTAATATTTAGACGATGTACTGTACGCTTACAGCGATATAGTCCCGACGAACTAAGATATCTGGGTAAGCGAAATTGAACTAAAGAAATAAAATAATTGCTGTTGCAAAATGTTAAATTTTAGCTTCAACTTGCGAAAACGGCCCAACTAGCGTTGCTGACGAGAATTTTAGTGGCCACAAATTGCGACGTTTGTGTATACGTTTACCACGTATGCCGCTGTATGCGCGCAGTGATATATCATCTCGTGCAAGTTCCGCAATTTGCTCAGAAGCCGAGCCAACGGGTAAATTAGATATATTATATTAAATATATTGCTCTATATGATAAATGTCGTATATTTCTATGGTTTGCATATAGATTTAGAAGATGATGAAACTGTTTACTGAATATGGATGGAGAACTTCTAATTAATGATAACTATTTTTGACAGATAATCATAATTTGAACGTTCTTATTTACTGTCCAGTTTCTTTTTAATAAATGTAATTTGATGTTGACATTCTACGTAAATCTGTAATGGCAAATTCTTTCACGCATTAGGCATTTAAAGCAAGTTTTTATGAGATATTTCCATCGCTTTTATGTCATAGTGTTGCCACCCACAAGATCTATGTAAATTTGAATATTTGTCTTTGCATGCAGCTCTGCGAGTGGAAAAATTTCATATTCATTCGATAATCAGCTGTCAAAAAAAAATTATTGAAAAAACTTTTAGTTTTAGTAAAAACGGACATAATTTGTTCAATTTTTAAGGAATATAATTGAAATTGAAATATGAATTGGTACAACGGTAATATAGCGGAAGCCGTGACACAGTCAAAACTAAAAAATGCAATCTTTGTGGTGTATGTTGAAGGTAAGTAAATGGAACTGGAAGGAATCATTTGATTGATGAACAACCACGTCATATTTTGTATGACTTTCAGGTAAAGATGAGACCACTGAAAAACTTTCCCGTTTTATCGATGAGTTGGCAGTAAGAGAAAAGTTAGAGTCAGACGATTTTGTTGCCGTTAAAATTCAAAGTGAAAGTGAGGCTTACATCCAATTTGCCAGCATCTATCAAATGGTACCGGTACCATCAATATTTTTTATTGGCAAATCAGGTGCTCCGTTGGAAATTGCCACCGGCATTATTGAGAGTGCCGAGGAGTTGGCAACTAAAATTGTGAAAGTCTTAGAATTGGCCGGAAAACCCCCTGCACCACCAGCTTCCAGTTCCCTAAGTGATGAGTTTATAAAACAAGAGCAAAAAGTGGAAGATACGTTAGACAATAAAAAAGAAGATAACGTTGAAAAACAGTCTGTATCTGAAGTGATTTGTGATGGTGAAGTTTGCTACATAAAGAGGAAACCTCTTCCAGAACAAGAGGAACCTGGTATTGATCGGCCTACTACTTCTAGAGTCAACGAAGCGCCTAATGGCGGTCCAGAAAAGCTGGAAGAAACACGCAAGTATCTCGAGCAAAGAAGACGTGAACGTGTTGAAGAAGAAAACCGTTTAGAAAAAGAACGTGAATTGAAGCGTCGCCGGGAAGGTAGAGAAATGCAAAATCTCCGTGATTGGCAACAGGAGCAAGAGCTTAAAGAACTAAAAGAAAATATGAAACGTGAACGTTTAGAAGAGCAGGCCGCCCGAGAACGTATACGCGCCCAAATTGCGGCCGATAAAGCGGAACGAGCACATAAATTTGGACAAGATTCTCAACCGACAACTTCACAAGGTCATCAGCCATCTGTTATTGCACCTCATACTACTCCACCTTCTACGCTAAGCGACGAGTCTCGTTTACAATTCCGTTTGGCTAGTGGTCAGAGTCAAAATCAAACATTCAAAAATACCACCACTTTGGCAGAGGTACGCGATTATGTGAAAAATCAAGTTATACCTGGAACCGGTATACGGGACTTCATTTTGGCTACAACTTACCCTAAGAGAGAATTCACACTTGATCATTTTGGTATGACCTTACTCGAGCTTGAGCTTTTCCCTAGTGCTGTCATATTGGTTATAAGCAAAGAAGCTGCTGGAGCTGGCGCGATTTTAGCCAGATCTGGTGGTTTATTAAATATGCTTTCTACCATTTTGTGGGCTGTCTTAAATCCAATTTTAGCTGCCGTTGGCACTGTGAAAGGTTGGTTTGTTGGCGACACTAGTGGACGAAATATTCAAACGGGTGCGCAGAAAAGGGCTAGTGAGGAACAAGATGTACAAAATGATGTGTAAGTATTTGTACTTTCGCACTTAAGATCCATACACAACTCGATTAGGACGGCGTACGCCCCGGCAGCGTGATATGATTTTATAGAAGAAGCCATGCTGCTAAAGATATACATGCATACATAGATATGCCCAACAAAACTATTCACAAATTTGTTTACCTATAATGGGATGATAAATTTCTTGTTTCCAACATCCAAATATATTCATTAAACGTTTCCTAAGACATAAGTTTTCTTAATACGTGTGAAAGTTTCCATCAAATTTCGAAATTTCAATTAAGATGGAACTTGGCAATTTTTTTTCTTTTTTATTGATAAAGAATTTATAAAAATTAAAATGCTTGAATTGAAAACGTTTTCAACCGGCTCCCTGACGTTCAAACAATTAATCAATTGGAGCTGGCGTCCAGCAAAATCATATTCGGAGCTATTTGTTTATTATCTACTTTAGAATAAAGTAGAACATGCCAATTATCATGTAGTCCGTACAAATATTATCATCTTTACATTGACGCAATTGGTACCATTTCTTCCCTTTTCCTTACAATTGCGCTATAATGTAACACACACCACTCATCTAATATTTGATTCCTACTTTGACGTAAAAAAAAAAAAAAAAATTAATTTTGTTTCACCCAAAGAGCTAAACGTCGCAATCTGGATCGTTTCTTGAGTGGCAACGCTGGACCCTCAACGTCGGGCAATAACAATTCGGATAAGACCGATAATTCCAATGCCGCTACCACCTATCGCCGTTATGTAAGTGGATCCAATATACATCGCTTAACCGATAATCGTAAAGATTCTGACGACGAGAACGCCACTTGGAACGGCAATTCCACGCAACAACAATAAATTGCAATAGTAATGAAGAAACAAAAGAAAAACAAATATGTCGGCTAAAAATTTATGTGAAAATGTTTGCAAATTTCACGTGATCCCTTTTTAATTTTTTTTTTTTCTCTAATATTTTATTAGCATTTTAAATAATTAAATGTATTAAAAAAATAAAAAATATTTTATTTAATTAATATTTTATTGGTTATCAAATAAATAAAAAATCAACAAAATACAAAACAAAAAATTTATGTTCGTTTCAGAGCGAATCTTTTCCTGCCTATAGTCTCAGCTTATTCCCTAATTATGCCTGAAGCATTTCATTAGTTGTCGAATGGATGAATGGAACAAAATTTAAATCGAATTTTCAAATCACGTTAGCAATCATTTGTAACGCACTTGTGCTCTATATATTTCAATAACATCTACTATGGATCAGCATTCTATTTCAATTTTGGGGGTTTTGCTCGCCGTACGATTAGTTCTAAATAGGATCGTAACCTTACATTAATCAAAGAATATATGCGGTTTGCGGGCGCTTTGGATACAATAACAATAACTCTAAAAATAAATTTTCTACTTTCCATTAATAGTGAACTGTGTAGCGATAACTTGTATAGCACGAGGTAATGGAAAATTTTGAATTGCCTCAAATAGCACTTGCAACGATCTACCGACAATAAGTATGTTACGATGGACGTGTTAAAATGTTTTTCATTGAACCGAAGAGTCCGCTAAAATGTCTACCATTCACTGCGATCGTATGGACTTACCGCTTCATAAATTATATTAGGCTGTTCGGAAAGTATTTGTGTAATTCTTTTTCAACATTTATGGCGCACTGTCTTCACACATTTGAGAGCTGATATCGTAATGCTTGTGTGGGAAGAAATTTTGTTCGATTCTTGGTGTCTTGTCGAAATCAGCCCTTTCTATTACTAGCGAAAAGGTGAAAATGATGTTCAAGAAAGAAAAAACTCATTGATTGCATATGGAAAGGATAAATGGACGGCCAATGCCAAAACTTGTTTCCAAACTTTCGTTTCGGTGCGATCGCATCAGGTTTTGGAAGGCCAGTAGAATCTGATAAAAGTAAAATAAAAGCAAACCAACGAATGAGACCTCGTGAGATCACTGAGCTTAGACGCTCAGATTTAGACATCTATTGAATTCTGCTCCTCTTGATGAAATATTTACACATCTTCACTTTGGGCAAAAAAAAAAAGAAGAAATTTCTTTCCGACTCATATAGGTTAACCAAACCCTACAATGGAGATTTTTAAAGATATATAACTAATCATTATTGAAGAATTAAAATTCAGATCTTTCTATGTATTTATTAGGAATTGCTTGGAATTGAGTTTCTTTTTAATGAAAACTCATTTCCAGAAACTTCCCTTAACACCCAACAATACGCGAAAAGTTGATATTACCGATTTTTGAAGAATGCGCAAACAATTGAAGTGCTGGATTTCAATGCCCGAAGCCATAGAATTTTATCTCAATTCTGTGGATTTCGAAAAGTGAAATTCAGTTCTAATTCTTCTAATGTTGCAAGCAAACAGCAATTTTGTTCCCGCATATTGTAAGCGAGGAAAAGCCAAAATATGGAATTTACCCCAGAGTTTCTTTCGGCTATGACATAAACTGAAAACAGCTGAAGTCTGGTAAATAGTTTTCAAAACGATAATTAAATCCATATGTATTGTAATGCAACATATACTTTGAATCTGATAAGTAAAAAAACCCCTTGAACGTCTTGACCAACTTTTTAAGCCTCCTCAATTCTGCTTGATTACGAGCACTCCATTTGATGGAGTGGACTTGGCGTCACTTGAAAGAAGAAAGAAACTCTAGTTAAAAGTTTAAAAAGACGTGATATGTAGACTATAATTTACTTTACTGTCAACCGCAATTACACGGTTTATGTGTATAATTGAGACACAGGGATCACATTTCTTCTTTCGTTCATATGGTTTTCAAATTTTCTTAGAATTGAGATAGTTGATCTAGATCTATAAAATCGTTCAGTTACAAGCGCTCAATTTCTTGATCGAATGGTTAAAATTTTCTAGGTCATACATGGGGACGCTTATATTGCAAAACTACGCCTGCCTAAGTCTATAGCTGGACGTTCATTCGGTTTGATACGGATGCAATGCGCTGCTGCTGACTTTGAGGTCCTTCGATGACTGCTTAAATCCCTTTAAGGGCTAAATCATTGTAGCAAAGTTTTTTTGGCAATTCTTTTTGGATGGAAGGAAAAATCGGAGAAATTGCACCAATTTGCAAAACTTAATCTCCTGATATCCCTTACTAATCCTAATCTCAATCTCAAGTTCTATATAAAATAGAAATATTCTTCCCCATCTTGGTATGATCTTCAAAACGACGTGTAGTTTTTCCGGCAGCCAAATCCCACAAACGCAATGTCTTATCCCATAAGCCAGATAAAGCATAATGGCTATCCGAAGACAACACAATATCACTAACAAAGTGTGAATGTCCATATAAACCCATTGACATAGTGAAGCCATAGTTAGACTTGGCCATATAGACTTTACTGTTACTCCACATAGTTAGTATCCAAACGACGTAACCGACATTGCAAGTAACCCTCGCTATACCACATGTCATTATACTTGGAAATACCAAACGTAATTTTACACCACGACTTTATGAGACTGTTTTCCGCGCCACCCTAGAGGTACCGTTATAGGCGCGTTGCCAATTGTTTTAAATGGATGACTCTCCAGTAGGCCTACACCATTATAAACGTAACGTAACTTATATTAGTATCTATATATAATAATGTTGAAAATGTAAAATGTATATACATACAGATATTAAGCTTACCTTCAAGTATAAGAAAAATAGTTTTGAAAAGTATTAAAAAATAGCAATACCGCAACTCTTCTCTGGGGATATCTTTAGCTCAAGGTGCTCTGCGGCACGCAGCATAACTGGTCCAAATTTGAATTTAAAAAAAAAAAAAATCATTTAATCTGTATTCTTATAACTAGTGAAGCAAGTAGGTATTTCTTTTTACATTGTTTTTCGTGTAATTGGCCAACGTTTGAGTGAAAAGGTGTAAGTTTCGACTAAAAAAAAAAACGCTTTTTATTAACAAAATATTATTAAATTAACGAAAAAATACTATGTGTTTCACTAGAGAATGTTGTTTTAGAGATATGATGGAAAATTCGAATAAAAGAAATGAACATTGTCTGAGTTATGCTGCTTGGCTTGCTTTCAAAAAGTATGTTTGAAGGTAAACGCGTTTAAAGTTCGACATATGTTATACACATGTGTCTTCGTCACAATAAATTTTTGCTGTAAATTCTTTTATTAGTCTACGATTTCAGGACCATAAAATCGCCCATCCAATTTCCTATTATATCTCTTTTCTCCAAGATTTTATGCTGCAATCTGCCTGTTTTGTAATATCTGTCAAGACTTGCTTAGGGTTCTTGATTCGATTAGTGTCGGCTTCAAGGCAAAAACTGTATGAAGGAGTAGCAATATTCAACTCGAAACTTTTAATGGTTTTTAGAATACTGATTAAAATTGCACACAGCAATTGTGTGTCAGTCGAGGTATGTCCAAGACATTTTGCTTATGGAAAATGCCAAAAGATTTTCTTTCCACGTATTCGAGCTTTAAAGCATCAATTAAACAAGACACAATATTTGTCATAAGCGTCGTGAGGCCGTACCTTTAAGTGTTTTGCTCCCTATCTCTTTTACATATTGAACGATATTGGTTATATTGGACGGTTAGGTAAGTGTAATTTAATAGCATAAACAATTTACCGAAAATATTTTAATTATTGCCGATCAGTTAGCTGGGCTTGTTGCTTAACATTGCATATCTTTTTCTTGATATTATTTCTATTTTCCATTTCAAGACTTTACTGATAGATGCTAAATGCAAAGAAAAATATATATATTTTGCATAATTCATATAAATCGATTAATTGCTTTTCACTATGTGGCTTATAAAGTCGATAACAACCGTTGAATTAAACATATAGCACAACTGCAGCAATCTTAGTTTAATTATAGAAAAGAAAATTGAAAGTAGCGTTTTGGTAGACTTACATTAAGTTTAACAAATCTAATATAATGGGAGAGGTAGAAGGCGCAGACGGCTGTATTGGTGATAGTGTGCGACTGTTGTCGAATCGATTCAAATTATTATAATGTAACGAACATTGGAGTATGGTGTATTTGTATACTGAAACATGCGTCGCTTTTTATATTAGCTTCCATATGTAATGCATATTGGACTTATAGCAAAATAATAGTATGGTATTTCATTAGATTTGGCAACGAGCTGGCAACTCTTAAAATAGAACGGTTAAATATGTATGGTCATCTCTCTCTTAGTGATGCTTACTATCATGTAGGAAAATAAAAACAAACAATAAATGAGTTTTCAGTACGAAAAGATTAACTGAAAGCAAGAGTATACTAACTTGTGTACCAGCATTTATGCTTGTGTGTGTGTGCGTTTATGTGGAAAATTCATGCTTCAAGACATACTTCACTCAATTCAGTTAGTATTACTTGGCACCACTAGGGGATTGTTGGCATTGTTATTGTAAAATTTCGTTTTACGCTGAGAAGAGTCTGAAAAAGAGCGAAAGAAGTAGAGAGAGAATCACTTTTTAACAATTGCTTTCATGAATATAAATCTAAACATTTTCTAGATTTTTTCAGTCAGTCGCTTTTTTCTCTTTGAAAAAGTTAGCTCGAAGGCGTGTGGTTTATTCCGTCGTTCGGTTTTTATTTAAATGCACAGCAACAATCTTTAAAAAAAAGTAATGCAGTGTACAAACGAAGAGAGGAAACAAAAAAAAAAAAGAATATATATTTATATATACACATATATATAGATATATATATATGTATATATGTATGCATAAATAAAGAAATGTATTAATTATAAATGAAAACTCCCTTAAATAAAAACAACATCCCTCTCAAAGCATAAATAAAAAAATTTTTTGTCGAAGTAAACACGCTTAACTTGTCCATAAACGCCATGGAGAAAAAAGAATGCATAGAAAAAAAAAAACTAATTGAATAACAATAACAACAACAACAACAACAAAGTAGTTTTTTACTATATAATCGCTGGTACGCGCTAATGTTTTTTAAAAGAATAAAACGAAAAATATATGGAGAAGTAAAAGTAAAGTTAGAAAAGAAATTTTTTTTGAAGTGTTTCCATATTATTTTATTTTCATATATATTTTGTATTAAAGGTGTCTACGCTCTTTTCTTCTACATTTATGTAAAGTCTAAAGTAAAATAAGTTTCAATAGAAAAAATAACTTTACGTTCTCCTCTCTTGTAATCGTGCCGTTTGATATATGCATGCGTTTGTGTGCGTAAATGTTAAATATTCTCTGAACTCGCTCATTAAATACTTTGTGTTTCGAGTCAAGCAAATAAAACCACCTAAACCTCCTACTTAACTTTACTCAAACGAAAAAAAAAAAGAAACAAATAAATTCAGTAATATTTCCGGTAAATAGTTTTTTCCCATAAGCTTCTCAGTATTAAAAAGTTGAGATTCTCTAAGTAAAGTAAATGTTCTAACTTTCATCGTTAAGTAAATAAAACAAAGAATGCAATGCAAATTTGTTATAAAATAAACTAACTAACTAACAACAACATCAAGTTCATATATATTTGAGAGAAAAACGACAAAAAAAAAAAAATAAGAGCTAAAAGTGGACATTTAGTTAAACAAGCAAGTTATACTTATTACTATTACTACATCATTCTCTCGCATCGCACTCATCTCGTACTAGATAACTAAGTGACTCGTTCTCTCTGTTTCTCTCTCCCTCTCTATCGCTCTATTCGCGTATGCAAACTCATCGCGTTTACGCTATCCACTTGCTTAGTGAAGAGTGAAGAGTGCGTGTGTGCACTGTTTAATATTTTACTCAGCTGCTTGTAAAATATCCGACATTGTTGTTGTTGCATTTTATGTTATCGGGTAGTGTGCGCCGTAGTAGTATTTTTCCCAACCGGCATTATAAAATTGTTTGTCAAAAAAGAAAAAACTATATATATTTATATATATATATATATACATGTATTTGATATATATACAATGTATATATTTATATATATGTGTATATATGTATACGTGAGAAAATGAATAAATAACCATTAAATGAAATGCAATCAATATTTAAAAAAAAAAGAACACACGTAATTTTCTCTTAAACAAGTTTGTTTACCTTGATTAGAGTTGTTGTTGGTTTTTCGTTTTTCTTTCTCTTTTTTTTTTTTTTTTTTTTGTTCTCCTGTAAATATTTAAACATTATAGTCAGCAAAAACAATTAAAAATCAAAGGTAAGTTATCAGAATTTTTAAGATAAATGTAGAATATATGGCGTTTTTTTTTTTTGTTCTTGTGATAGAAATTTCGTTATTTTTTCAAACTCTCTGCATTATTATTATTGAACATCAATAAAATACCGCTACTTCTTCCTCTTTGTTGCTCTCAATTGTATATACTAAACTTTTAAACCATTATTTACTCCGCGCTTTAGTTACTGCACTCACTCACTACTTTGTAACCCCTAGATATTGTTGTTGTATTATTACTGGCATGTGTTTTACGTTCGATTACACAGCGGCGCATGTTTTATTATTGTTTGGACTCATGCTCTTTCTCCGCCTTTCTCTCTTCTACCGTCTATAACTTAAATATAATGTATTTCTGCTCTTTATTAATTATGATAAAAAAAAAATAAAAAAAAGTAAAAAAAAAATTACAGTCTACCGTATTACATTTGTTTTCTTTCTTTTCTTTCAATACTCAATAATAAATTAACATTTACAATTGTATCTTTTATGCTTGAACGCTTATTAATTTATTTTTTCATACATATTTTAATTTTTTTTTTTTTAGTGCATTTTTCCAACCAGTTAATGATTTCCTACGTTTTGAGCTTGTTGATGTATACGTAACTAAACGCATTTAAAAGTCTGTATAATTTCTAAAATTTATATCGTCTGGTTTGTTGATATGGTGTATAATGTAATGATATCATCTTATGTAAATTATGATAATATTATTTATCACTTGTGGGTGTTGTAAATAAGTAATTAAGCAATTTTCTTAATATATGGCCAGGCCAGCATATGAATAATTCATTAAAATACTTCAAAATCGTTAAAGGACATAAGCATAAGAAATTGACGATATGAGAAATTATCTGAATTACATATAAATGCGATCGAAATAAGCAAACATTTATGACAATAAACATACACATGCATATTCTTTGGTGTTTATGCATACTTATGTTTTTTATGCGTAAATTTAAATTTGTTTTTATATCATTGAAGTAGTAAAATGGCATTTATCAATTTCTATGTTATATGTGTCCGGCTATAAGGTTGCAAGATGAAATTTAAATTTTGTTTTAACTATGCGTTACAATAAGTGTTTTATCCCATTCGATTTTAGTACTAGTAGAGAGCTAGCTGGATATGTGCTATTGAGGTTACTGTGTTCTTAAAGTGAGTACTTCAAGCTGCTCGAAGAATCGCTTACGAGCTACTTTGTTTTAAGAACAGAATTTCCGATACAAAAAATTCGAGTTGTTCTATAATTGCCGGAGTGTCCCTTTATAATAATTCTTATATCAAATTTCCCATTACTTGAATAAATCGTCTTTTGCTTTGGGTAAAAGTGAGAAGATTGGAAATCATCGACCGGGCAGATAAGCCGAGAGATCTAGAGAGAGATTGTATTAATATGTAATAAAATCGTTCTAACAATTAATGGCTACAGGAAGAAAAAAGTTACTCCCCGTTTAGGCCTACTTATATGTCGTATGTATTGAAAAGAAGATTATTGACATCATGGGCCGATTTAATTTAATATTTTTATGTGATTTTGTAGTTGAGCACATATTTTAGAGACGAGATTTTTCAAATTCAAAATTCGCTTACTACTGCTACGAAGAACGAATATCTCAGTGAATTGTTATTGTAATTCAAAAGTAATACGATCGGGAAATAAGCATTCATTTGTCTGATGTGTATGACAAATAGGGAAAAACTATATATATGAAAATGGTTTTTTTTTCTTTTTTTTTTTTGGTTACACTAAAAAGTACAAGGATATCCGCTGTTATGACGACAAAGTTCTTCAAAAGCATTTTTCGTCTTTTACTTTAAGAATACAAATATTGAAGTTAGCGTTCACCGGAAACTTCCGTTACCGTGCTACACGAAAAGGGGATATACCCTGAGTGATTGGTCATATTAAAAAGAAGAAGAAGAACAAGAAGAAGAAAAAAGTGCCACTCACTATATAATACGGTACAAAATCACATTATTCTGCATTGTATCTTAATTTAAAAAAGAAAATAAAAAAATTTCATATAAATTAAAATTTCACATAATTTCGATGCAACACTTGCTTGTACAGAGAATACTGGATATAAAATTTAAATATTCAATATCGTTCAAAAACGATATGTACGGATCTTAATATCTCCCATACCTTATCCACTTACATGATTTTAATGCAATTTTTAATTAATTAATCGTTTGTATTAGTAGCAAATTATTGTTATTATAATATAGTAAATACGTTATTGTTTAAAATTAATTTGGATTTTTATTTATTTTTATTTACAGCTTTTTCTTCAGATTTTCATCTAAGTCCAAAAGTAACAAAAAAAAAATTATATATATATATATACACATGTGTATATATATATAAATGTAATGTTTTTTAAAGTGTTGAAAAGTCTAAATTATAAAAATAATTAAATAAAAAGAAAAGAAAAAAGTTTCTCAGAAAACATAAAGTGCAACATATGTGTATGTTTGAAGTCTACTCTTTCACCCAGGAATAATATCATTAAAACACCCTACACATAATAAACTTGCATATATTTATGGCAATTGCTTTCTTACTCTGAACCCTAAATAAGGACAAGAAAAAAAAAAAAAGTTCCTTTTCTTTAGTGAGAAAAAAAGTTTAGCAGTGAAACGTTTGCAATCGTCTAAAACAAAACTGTGTGGCAGTAAGGTGGTGGTGTTGTTGTTTCTCTGCGGTTGTAATAACTGTCTTTAGGCACACGCACACGTGCATCAACACCATTACAAAGTCAAGTGTGAAGTGAAATTAGTTCAATCGAAATAAATTTGCTTTTGCTGCCGGTTGTTGTAATTCAATGAGCGTTTCGATGTCACTCGTACAAGGTGGAGCTGCTGGCGGTGCACCACAAGGTGCTATACTTGCTGCTGCCGCCCCCTATTATCAACCGCCAGCAGTGCCGCAGGATGTACAACCGGATCGCCCCATCGGCTACGGTGCCTTCGGTGTTGTCTGGTAAGTAAATTATTAATTTTTTTTTTTTTAAAAATATTCATAAAATATTATAAATTATTCGTTACGTGAAAGAAAGAGATAGAGGGTTTATTGAACTTTGTCGCGATTATTATTATATCTTTCGCTCGTTATCAAAGAAAAAATATTATTATTATATACGTACGTATTATGCATATGCATATGACATGTATGTATACGAATAGTGAAAACACTCGCTCATCCATATCGAATGTATATTTGAATGTTTATTTTATTTTTATGTTTAACACCTTCCGTCATAAAATGCGATTTATGCCGGCAAACGTAATTCAAAATAATTGATGAAATTCTTAAAAATCAGTAAAGAATAAAGATATGAAATCAACTAACTAACTGGCTAATTGCTTGAATGGCTGACGAGTGGCTTGGCTGGCTGGCTGGCTGGCTGGCTGACTGATTGACTGACTGACTGACTGACTGACTGACTTGACTGACTGATTGATGCAATGACGCATTAATGATGATTATCATGATATTTGATTATATGTGGAAAAATGAAAGAAGACGAAAAAAGAGAAAGAATAAAAAAAAAAAAAAAAAAAAAAAAAAAATCAAATTTCCATTCACGTGTAAAACGGTGTTTCCGGATGCAATCAAACGAAAAAAAAACGTTTTATTTTTCTGTTTTTGCTTTTGCTTGACCTCCTCTCTGTCCCTTTACCTTTAGCAAAATGAGCAAACACAATAGCAAAGAAAAAAGGAAAAACGATAAAACTCTACCAAAAAATTAACAACAATAACAACAACAGTAACATTATTAACAACAAAAAACCAACGGCAGCTATACCGTTCAATAAACTGCACGCATGCATACTACACACACGTAAACTCTTGTGAGATGTTGTTGAGTTTAACAAAAGAGTTTTGTGTAGAAGAGTCGCTGCATATCCGCGGGTTTGTCTGCATATATATATATATATATGCATATATATATATATATATGTTTATATTGCAAATATATCTACACGCGAAGAACGCTAGTGTTAAAGACCCTAACAAACAAGAAGCCAAAAGGCAATCAGCTCAGCTAACAAGCAGCCAAGGCGACCAACTGAGCCGGCGAGCCAGAAAGCCAGGCAGCCAGCCAGCCAGTCAGCCAGCCAGCCAGCCAAGCAGTCAAGCAGCCAAACGATTCAACCAACTGAGCAGCCAGTCAGGCAAATATACATTATAATTGCAGCCAAGCCGTAATATCTCTATATGTATATATGCGGTAACTTAAACACACACACACACACACACACACATACAACCCCTTAGTCAGGCGAATAAGATACCTAAACGAAAAAAAGGAAAAAACAAAAATTGATTTGGAAAATATGTTTAACGTAGTGTAAGTGAAGGAAAAGTCGAAAAATACCTAGAGGCCAAGAAACCAGGCAACTAGAGGTAAGCTCAATATAAGCTTAGACATCAAACAAAACAAAATATGAACAAAAATTAAATTTTATCAAACTTCTCTAATGCGAGAAATGTATGAAATTTAATTTCATAGAACCATAAAACACACCAGCACACCAGCACACCAGCAATACCAGCAAGCTAAGCTTAAGGAAGCAAAACAAAATTTTTCAATAGCCTGCCTGCATGCACTTCAAGATAACTATGGAAATTTGTTGTAAGAATGAATTATAAAAGCTTACCTCAAGTATTATGACGACATTATTGATGTTATAAATAGCACTAGAATCAAGTATTGCGTGGCTGCAGCTCTTGCCTATTAAGCAAGTAAGTTATTTAAAATAAAAAAATTACATAAAACTTCAAAAATGCTCGACGCAGTAGAAGCTTTGCTTTCAATTGAGAAAAGTAATCATTTCATTCGCTATCATAGCAGTTTTGAGGTCAAGAAGCATTCTCCTTATCCTGTGAATACCATAGTCGAGCCATATCTGCAAATAATTAATCATAGTTGAAGTTATGTCCAAACCTTTTTTTTGCCTGCGAAATGCATTTGGATCTTCAGTTAATGTCCAACACTCACTCTCCATATGCACGACACCGCACTGCAATACAAAAATCGCGCAGTTCGTCCAATAGTTCGAATATTGGATTCCTTGCCAGTAACTATATAAATGATAAAATATCTCCCGGCCAAGCATTTAAAGGAGAAAAGCTAATCATATTATACCCTACACCATCACAGACGATAATCGTTTATTAAATTTGTGTAGATGTATGCAACATTCTAGTGATCTGCAGAGTTATTTACCAAATCGATTGGGGGGTCATATGTTCCTCTGTTTGGTTACGAGATAGGCTAACGAGATATCTGTTTTTGGTGAAACTTAATGCATTTTCAATTTTTGACCCAATGACGAGGTCGTTTGAAAATAAATATGATCGAACCATTAAAAAATTGTATTCTGTATTACTGTTGCTCTAAAATAGATTTAAAACAAAGAGAGAAACAACATTTTCATTCTCTATAAAATTGGGAGGGTGGGCGCAATCGTTTCTTTTTATTTTCTTTTCTTATTTTTGCATAAAAGTAGAGATTTTAAGGAACGAGCGAAAAATCGCGGAAGGATGTCGGCTTTATAAAGCGATGCAAAAAATACTTCTCTGTAGCCGATATTCGTACCATTTACAGCGCATATTAGAGTATAATTGGCGCGTGTGTGTGTGTGGGCGCGATTCTCGACCGCATACAGCAAAAGGCTCTGGTGCTCATGCCCGACTAAAGTGTGTTTAGAGCTCTCGATACCCTTGAACATCGGCATTACGTGTACTGCGTTGCGCTACATTCGGGGCATGCATTCTACAGAGGAGAAAATGATTGGTATGCCCGTTTTACCGTACTTGCCGCCTTTGGAGCAATCTATCAGCCGTCGTCTTTCCCGCCGCACCTGATATCTCCATTTTCAAGTCGAACATTTATAAACACTACTTCCTTACTTCACCCCAATTTTCCTATAATCACCGCGCCCGCACGCATAGGTACCATCCCATAGGTGGGTGGTCATATGTAAAAAAAAAAAAAAAAAAGACGAAAAGTAAAAGTCTTCTTCGTATTTATTGCATAGGCGTGCCAGCGTTGATCAAATTCTTTTGCAAATTTTTAGGCGATATCTTCATTTTTGTAATTGTTAGCCACATAGACTATACATCTGAATAGATGGTCAGATTAGCCAGTTCCCAAGACCGACATGCTTAGGTGCATTCTGAATTTGGCATATTCAGCTTATGGGGCTTTTGAAGCTTGCTTCTGGGCGTTATAAAAGATTTGACAAAAAAAAATGCCACGGAAGTGAAATACATTACAGGTGTGCTATAGCATCGCATAGCATACAAAATAGCATAAGAAACTTTTAAACGATTTATCTTTTGTACATTATGAGTAATCAGGTGTTCAGAAAACCAAAGGTGTTCTTTGTTTACATAGTGCTGTGGGCGCCGAATTTGATTCGCTGGCTTTGTTTTTTGCGGCCAAAAAAGAATACTTACAACAGACATATAGCATAAACGGAGAAGATAGACGGACATGCTTAAATCGATTCAAAATGATATGGGGTCTCTGAAGTTTCCTTCGCGGTGTTGCAAACGTTTTGACAAAATGAATATACCCCTTCGGTGATATGCATAAAAAGTCCTTTGTTTGCCTTTGTGCGTATTTTTGATGAACTAAATGTTCATTTCATACTAAACATAAGGTATATCTCGTTAATTGTGATTGTGTCACATTTACACACAGATTTATAAAAATTCTACTTACATTGGACCTCATTGACATTGACGGCCTTAGGGAATATTAGTAGAAATTTGAATAATAAGATCTGTTACAGATTGGAAAATAGGGTTTATTTACCGCGTTTTTTTGAACGTGATTAAGGGATTATTTGATCAACTACGAAAAAAGGATAATTGAATCGAGTTGAGTGCTACGCTCAGGATCAGGAATATTAGAAGGCACGGCAAAAAGCGCTTCCAGACGAAGGCACAATTTCACTTTATTTCCGCTCGTCGACGGTAATAAATTTTAATTTTCATGTATGTGTGTGTATTTTAGGGTATGTAAAATTTCTAAAATTATGTCACGTCGTGCTTAACAATTTGTGTTGTGTTGTGTGTGTGTGTTTTTTTTTTTTTTTTTAAGTACAGCAACAGTCAGTAGTATTGAGATTTATTCCGCAATTTCGTTTATTTACATTACATTTAGTTCATTAACATTTTCATTAAGTTGCTGCCAAACGGAATGAAAAGATTTTCTTCTTACTTTACAAGCACGTCGGGAGGCCTTGCTCCTCTAGTGCATGATGTATTAAAAAAGAAGAAAAATTTGTAAAAAGTCAAATAGTTCGGTATAAAAGCATGTATGTAGTCAGTCACAGCAATTTTATGGTGGTTGTGTTCTAAAAAGGTTTCTTTCTTTTTTTTTTTCCTGCAAAATTAGAAACTGTTTGGGAAAAAACCAAAAAATTGCTAGGCTTTTGATAATACATTTGAAACTGAATGGAAACGCACTAAAGTTATCGTTAGAATATAGTGACCGAAAAAAGCATTCAACCGCATATAAGCTGCACAAAAGCCTACCAATTTATATATATATCTATATATATATATATATATATATCATATATAGATATGTATATTTGTATATTATATGTATGTATGTATGTATGCAGCCAATAAGTAGCGAACGCACATTTCTCACTTAGTGTTCAGTTAGCAATTGTCTGAGATCTATGCGTTTAGTGTTTATATGTATGCTTGCATGCGTGTGTGTGTGTGTGTGTGTGCGCGCATTTGTACTTGTGTGCTTATAAAAATCTAAACATTTAACAAACTGTTAAAAAAACGAAGAAAAAAACTCTTTCTTTTATACCCAGCACCAAAGAATGGAAATATGTTCAATTCGTTGAAACGTTTGCAACACTTGCAAGAAGACTTCAGAGATCTCATTAAATGTTATCAACATCGTTACATATATAAGCATTTACGTTTGTCCCATTGCCTCGCTG